GGGGAGGAAGTTAAAGGTCAGCAAAAAATAAGCTGCTCTACAGCAAAGAGGTTTTCAACAGCTGAATTTAAGCTTGTTTTATATGTATTCCACTTAGTCTCTGCATCGCCTCAGCAATGTAAAAAATCCACATCCTGCTCTGTGGCTTAATGCTCATAGACAAAAAACAGCCAGCTGCTCATTAGTTCAATGCATCAGGCTTAACAGAAAACTGTGTTATCATTAGCACTTGTGTTTTCTAGAAAAGCTGCCAGTATGTCAGCTCCAAAGCTTTATTTTTGTCCATTACGCTGCAGTTTTCTTCAGGCCCCTGACATACCTCTGCATGCTCCCAACACACAGAGATGCTACAGCTCCTGGTCCCTGCCAGCATCATCCCCAGGCTGCCCTCCAGTTAAACCACTAACTCCCAGCTGCTCCCGCTGCTCTTTGAATCTCCCCTGCTCCAGATATTCATCCTTGCAGTGCTGAGGGCAGAAAACACAATATTCTACTCTGCTGCAGTCAATTTGCAGAAAACAGTGGCTTGGTGCAAGAAATGAATCGACCTTGGACCTTTTTTTAAGAGCAGAAATTGTAACACTGTTTCTGTCCTTGAGCAACAAGGTGCCTTCAGTGAACTCCTTCACTTCACGATGCTCGGGTGCTTTGTAAGAACTACTGTCCAACTACTGGCAAAAGCAGTCCCTACCTTGCCAGCCACTGTCTCAGACTTCCCTGGGAGAGGGGCAGGAGGAGGAACAGCAGAGCCCGCTTAAAGCAGGAGCCAGACTAAAGCAGAAATAACCTCAGCTTTAATCATGCACAGGGTTAAGGGACTGTAAAACTTCCAACTGCTTTGAAAAGGTTTAATGCCAGTTCTTCCTGTTCCTATAATACCTTTATTATTCCTGTTCCCTTTAAAATAGAGGCCCCTAGATAACAGAGAGATGTTATTTTCATTTATTAGATTTCGCTATTTCTCCTAGCGGTAAGACATATCCTGTTATTTGGATGGATGCTCATTTAATACCAGCTTCAAAAGCTTCATTTTCAAGTGAATTCAACAAATTACAGGTTATTTCAACCCTTTCTCCTCTTTTACATTGTTTTCTATCAGAAAAGTACTGTGCAATGCTCTGAACGCAATCCTTTTTTGCATGTGAGCTTTCTGAAAGGCTTCATAATGCGTTCAGCCCAAATGTAACCCTGCAGTTGTTGCAACCAATTTGTTACAAATAATTAAATAACCAACATTAACATTAATTTATTAAAGCCCATCTAAAAAACCAAGCTTCAATGTGAATTGTGTTGCTGGTAGCTCCTCCAAAATGAAATGCCTAAATATCTCATTAATCATGACAGCAATCCCTGCTGCTGGCATCCAACTGACATTTCATTCGATTGCTATAAAATGCTTTCATCAAATCACTTTCCAGAGGCTCAGTGGCTGATTTAGCCACAAGACCACTTGGAGGATGGCCGATAATGGAAATCGCAGGGAGCGGGTTTGGGCTGCTCAGGTCAGTCCTGTGATTAGGACTGTGGGGTGTTTTTTTAACGAGCCTGTTCCAGCCACATCACTTGCTGCAGTGGGTGTAGAAGGCAAGGGAGGAGGGTCATCCTTGCACCCAACGTGGCCCTAGGCCTGCCTGTCCCTCAATTCCCATCACGCCAGGGTGACATCCAGGGAAGCAATGCCACATACATAGCAGTGAGGTCCATCCCTGCTTAGTGTGATGAGCAAAAACCCTCGAAGCACCCAGAACCATCATGGCAGCAACAAAAATAATCACCGGAATGCCCTTGAGGTGATCAGACAAGGAAAGGTTGGAAGTGTAACTGCAAACCTGCAGACGTCACAAATGTACCACTGCTCATGAAAACGATACTCGGTCATGATGGGGAACAGGGAGAAATGCAGAAGCATTTTTGTCTCCGTTTCACACTAACATTTTTGTTAAAATCACACAGGGGTGCTGCCTGCCCGCAATAAGCTCAGTTGCCAGCCAGGCTAGATAGAAACTGAGATGCCAGAGAACTCCCACCTGAATATATCCTCTGTCCTTCTAGGATCACCAAAAATAAGCAATAATCACATAGCAAAAGCCTAGCAATGAGAAAAAAGGTCTTTTACTGAACCAAGACGCACACTCGTGTCCTGGTTTCAGATGGGATTGAGTTAATTTTCTTCCTAGTGGCTGGTACAGTGCTGAGAACAGTGCTGACAACACACTGATGGTTTAGTTGTTGCTTAGTAGTGCTTACCCTGCTCAAGGACTTTTCCGTGTCTCATGCTCTGCCACTGAGGAAGGACAGAGGGAGCCAGAGGAGAGCAGAGACAGGACACCTGACCCCAACTGGCCAAAGGGGTATTCCATACCACAGCACGTCATGCCCAGTTATACGAAGGGGCCGATCCCTGCTCGGGTTGGGCTGGGTATCAGTCAGCAGGTGGTGAGCAATTGTGTTGTGCATCACTTATCTGTCTTGGGGTTTATTCCTCTCTCTTTTTGTTGTCTCCCTTTCTATTCCTCCCTCCCCAGCCCCCAAAATTCTTACACTGTTCTTAACACGCAGGTTTTACCTTCTCTTTCTGATTCTCCTCCCTGTCCCACTGGCGCAGGGGGTGAGTGAGTAAGTGAGTGGCTTTGTGGTTCTCGTTGCCAGGTGGGGTCATACCATGACAACCAGCTATGCCCCACTAGGGTGAGTAACTGTAGCTAACTCTGAAACAGCTAAAGTAGCAATTCTGTGTTTTTACCGATAGATGGACTGGTTGGCAGCATCCACACACTGAAGTACTTGAAATACTTCGAACAAAGCTCAGTGCATCCTACTTCCATGCGAACTCTCTCGTCAACTGCGGGTAGCAGCATTCTCCGAGCACATAACCCAGACAGCCAGAGACCAACCCGGCTATTTCACTGCAAACCTTCTGAAGACAAAAGCCCCTTGGAACTGAACTCCTGATGGGATCCTCTTAGTGAATCAGTTACGGCTGCAAAAGGAGGAACGACTCTGCAGAGACGCACTTCCTTGTGCAACCCCCCTTGGATACTGATTTAGTGTTAATAAAAAAGAGGAAAATTGATGAAATGCTTGTCTGCAGGACAGAGGTGCTTTCCAGCAGAGAAAGACAGTGCACAGAGAAACAGAATAAATACTGTTTATATTATCTGAGCTATCTGCTTTGCAGGGGGAAATCCAGCACCATTTCTCTTGCAGTGCTCATTTATAAAACAGAACAAGCATGTCTGAGATCTGCTGTGGTCCTGAAGACGAAGCACAGTGCCTCCAGGACTGCAGGAGCCCAAAGCAAATGAACAGCCCAAGCCAGGCAGCAAATACTGCTCTAAGTTGGTCTGAAATGCAAGAACCATTCCCAGAAGGGTGAAAGGTTGAAACACCTGAACTGTCAGATCTGCCACTGATGCCTTCTGCCTTGGGGTGCAGAAGAAGAGACAAAAGGATTTAGTCCACAGGGACCCTGTGAGCATCACGTTAAGAAAG